TTTGTATTAATGGTATGGCATTTCTAAAGGTAATTCATAAACAAACCCGTAAATATAGGTGAATGTGATTGAATAAAAACCATCTCATTTTTTAGTTTTCTTCACCATTATTTTTTGGTTTTGTTTATTTTCTTGCTGAACAATACGCCAGGGTAAGTTAACTTAAGAATGTAATTAGAACTGCGTTTCATTTTGTTACGACTGTGTCATATTTTAATATTTTTTTTTTTTATATAACATGCTTCCATGTTCCATATTATTCCTGTAATGATGTGTTGTATTCACCATCATATAATTTAATCACCTTACCCTGTGCTGTTAAGGTTTTAACTGTTATTATTTGTTCAAACCCATTTAGTACTGTAACAAGCATTCTTTGTTTCTAAACGACCGTTTGCAGCGTTAAACTACCCACCGGCGGGTCGCGTGGCGGGAGCCGACCTTATATATAGGACCCACCAACTGACGGAGTTAGTTCAGTCCTCTTGTCATACAGTTCACATCCTTTGAGTGACACTCGTCACCTGTTACTTATACTTAATTTATTTGTGTTGTTCCTGTCGCCACCAAGGTGCTATATCTGTGAGTACCTATTTATGTCTCTATTTATGTCCATCAGTATTTGCTTAGTTGTATTCAAGTAATTCAGTGTTGTTTCACGTTAGTTAATTTCAGTGATAGTTTTTATATGTTTATGCAGTGTTAACGTAATCCAATGCTTTATTTTTATTCTTTTGATGTTTCGATGTTTAGTATCATTTGTGTCTTAAAAGTTTCGATGGTGAATCAATTTGTTGTGACAGCCTACGAGGCTCTTTATTGTGTTAATATTTAATTAATTAAATTCTTAAAGGTTTACTTTATTTATTTTTGTTCTCTTTTAATTTACTTCACTTTTTTGTTTGGTTACGCCTAGAACCTGGATATTTAAGTAAATTAAGAGACGGCGTAACAATATATAACAGGTCTTGTTTATTTAACAAAACAAACAGCTCAACCTACCCTAACATGACCTGAAGTAACAAGATTATTTTAATTGCCCCCTTTAATTCTAACGTACACTAACTTAATATAGCCAGACGTAACCTAAAATATATTACTGTAAGCAAACCTAACCTAACCTAACCAGACACAGCCCAGTAGGAGTCAATAAATCACAACTCTCATGAAATAATTTCCTGGACTAATTTATCAAACACGTTCACCCATGACCATAATTCATCAGACCTTTTGACTTAAATTTTGATTTAATGGAAACATTTAGCAATATTTCCTCAACACAGAGAGGCTGTATGTGAGTTTCCTATACAGAGCGGTTTTTATAAATGTGTTTTAGTGTCAGATATTGTTTGATCAGCGTCTGTCTGTGTCTCAGTGTAGAATAGCTTATACAGTATATCTGTTTGTTTCTCTTGTCGTCTCGCTCAGTATATTATACCCATGAATATTATTCTCTCTCTCTCTCAAAGCTCTTCACAGCCCTTCTACTCCAGAACATAATTTCGTCTTTCAAAAGGAGTGACTCACGGCTCACAGCTGCTCTTATCAGCCACAAATGGCAGCACTTCTGGAGTATACAATGCATGGACTCACAAGTTAATAATTCCAACTGACACACAGACACACAGACACACAGACACACACACACACACACACACACACACACACACACACAGACACACACACACACACACACACACAGACACACACACACACACACACACACACACACACACACACACAGAGACACACACACACACACACACACACACACACACACACACACACTCACACTCAGACCACAAAGTTAGCGGCAGTAATCATCTGTGGTGAGTTAAATGACGGGGAACTATCTGACGAAGTGAAAGACCATGTGTTGAAATATGAGAGACTGAACTGTCGAGACATAATACGAGAGTTTGATATGATAAAACACAAGCAGCCTGAGGGATATATCGGTGAGGGTTTACGCTGGTGTTGGTACATTGTGGGTAATTCATGACCAATGATATAAATTAACAACTAGACTGAAGGCTAATTTTATAATTATTGGCATATTTTAAATGAACACCGAGGGAGATATTAATGACAAATACACATTAACTTTTACCTTTAAACTTATTAATCGTAGTAATAGTTTTTTTATGTAATGGATCGTTGCTACAAAGGTACGTCAAGTTTCCCTACCGAGAAAATTCGAGTGAAGGTGTTCACCTTTGATAAACCGCTCTAGCAACACAGAGTCGCTATGGACTCTCTGGCCTTTGTACTACACCCGTTAACTTTTAAAACCCATAAAAACATCACCGGTTTTGACAACTGTCTCGTTTAGTCAAACTTTTTCTTGTAAACTCTGTGGATTTCTGTATTGACATATATTTTGTACTTGTCATTCAGGTGGAGTTTCATACCAAACATTTAAAAATTTCTATATAGGTTTTCTCTATAAACAATCCAGTTTTGGTGACTTAGTGTTAGTTAAATCAAGAATAATCAGAAAAATTACTGAATTCTCGATTTAAATTTTGTATTGACCTGTGCAAGGGACGTCACTCCGTTATTAATGTGTTGCGAATTGAAGATAAATTATCTTATAAACTTTTTTCTGCTTTGTAACAATAGGAACATTATTGTCACATGTTAATAAAAATGTTTCCGTAACAACTTAAAGACCAAAGTTTTGTACTTGAGCATCTTATAACAGGAGTGTGTTGCTCAGTAACAGTTCACCTGATGCGATTACATTTTATACTGTAAACCTGTAACTAAATAACGATCTGAGGTCAAGATAATATGGATAAATTTTCAGTAATATTCTGGACACAAATATTTTCCTTGGTTTAGTGATTAATAAACCATCAGTCCCAGACAAGTCCAGAAGTCATCTCATCCTGAGGACCAAGAGCGAAACTCATGATAATTATCTGGGCGTCTCCGCTTGGTGGCTCAGAGTGGACTTAAACGTGCTCAACTTAACTCAACTCAAATTAGTCTGGACTAAGTTTTGTGAACCCAAGTTTAGGCTTTGACGGCACCATTTACCAACAACTGGACCATCCTGGAGTTGTAACTTGGAGGAGAAGGTAGAGATAATTTTGTTACACCGTATATGTGATACTCTGGTCCTGTGGGAATAAATTTACCTTTTTTATACTTAAACTCATAAATGTGCGGATACATCTGGGGTTTAAAGTAAATTACTCTAAAAGTTACTCGGCAAAAGAAACTACAGTGTCACAATGTCAGAGAAACCAAAAAGGAGACCGTCTAGCAGCCTGTGAGCTGGGGCGGTCATGCACTGTGGACACGGTATCAATATTTATTAGAGAGAAACATTTTTGTGATCGACAGAGACCAGCAGCCTGAGGGCCAACCTGACATGTGAAGCGCCTGTCTTTTTTCTAATCTTTTTTTTTTTCGTGAATTGAACCAAGGGAAACGTGTTGTGTCTCTCGGCAACGTTGAGAGTTTGTAGTTGTTGTCTCTCTTGTTGGAAAAAGGTGGACACGTTTTTCGTTTTGTGGAATAGTGTGAACTGATGTGGAACGTTCTGTGTTTGATGATCTAGAATGTTCTGGAGTTATTTAGAATGGTCGGGGTCAGTAGGTTGTGACCTAGAAAACGTTTGAAATGGTTTGACTGTTTGAACGTGTTGATCAATATCGTCCTTTAGGATACCTGCCTATAAGGGAAACTTTTCAGTATTCCACCCCTTCTCTTCAGTGGGTATAACACCTACACGAGTATCCTAAACCTTGACTTCACCACCACTATACTTTGAGAGATCAGCTGCAAAGCCTGAAGACTCCTCACGTTGTTCTCTCCAAACATGAGACTAAGAAATTGTGGACGAGGCATATCAAGCTGTCATAAGAAAAAATCCTGACACTGGAGGAATTGCCGTCGTTCTCTGACATTTGTACCAGTCGTTCCCCATCGTGAATAAGACTGGAAACCTTTTATTACTTGGTGAAGAAACGTGGCAACTGATACTAGACAAATGCTCGCGTTGTCACTGGTTAATCGGAGGTATATAACTAGTGTTGGTATTTCTTTACGTGTGTGACTCTTGAAGTGTGATGAACCAGAGTTTAAACAAATCAAGCGTAAAGGAATAATAATCAGATCGATCTTCAAAATCTCTTCTCTTCCTCCTTTCTTCTCTTATCTCCTTCTTTCCCCTCTTTTCTCATTCTCCTTCCCTTTCCCTTCCCCCTCCCCCTTGTCTTTCATTCCCTCTCTTCTCTTTTCCTCTACACACCTCTCTCCATTCCCACTAACCTCCTCTCTCTCTTTCAGCTTCCCTCTCTTCTCCTCTCTCCCTCCTTAGCCCTCTTTTCTTAACTCTTTGCACGCTTCTCCCCTCTCCTTTCTCTTTTCAGCCCTTTCTCTTCCCCGTAATGGTCCACTTGGCTTCCCCTGTACATCACACCACGGTCTGGGGCTCATAAACACCAAGAAAAAAGCATTAGTCGTCTGGCAGAGTGTCACGCCATCTCTTTCCTTCCCTCTCTCTCTCTCCCACCACGACCATTATCAGCCACTGTCCAAGTCGCTGTTTGGTACAATTGTCCATATTCTAATGGTCTAACTGGTTCTCTTAACTGGTAGAAATCAATACCAGACACGGGACAACATTTCGCGTCATGAATTAATAATACAAGTCTCATGGGGGACAATGTTGGCTATGTTTATTTTTTCGCCAAAAGTTTTACAGGGGTTAAAGAGCTTTCCAAAAACGTTTAATGATCATTGTTAGACGTATATGTAATAGAAGAAAATTCATGGTGGATTTTTCTAGACTTTTGTTTCTTTATTGGAAAGCCTTAAGCCATGAAAATAGGTAATTTTAACGTAAATGTCTTTGAAGAGAATGAGCATCATATTATTATCTCTTAAAGGAGTATTTTGAGAGGAAGAGACTCTGGAGGAGTACACAATATACTGTTGATGGAAAGAGAGATAGATTATTAGAGATTACAGGATCAAGGCAGACTTACCCAACGCTTCCATCGGCAGGAGGACGAGACCGAGAATGAAGCCGACGAGAACGAAGGGCGAGAGATACGCAGCGAGACATAAGGCCCAAGGGTTGCGTCCTCGAGAGATCATCTTCTGGAGAGACTCTTGGGATCTAATACGAGACATCTCCTCTTAGGCATCTTGTATCACTCGAGACACAGAGAGACTTTGTGTTCATTTTTCCTGGTGGATATCTCTCACGTTGGCGCCGTCCCGATCATGTTCTTATCAGGTTCGCTTCATGTTCAGATCATGTTCTTATCAGGGTCACTTTACATTCAGAGCATTTTCTTAACCAGTTCACTTCACTTTAGATCACATTCTTATCAGGTTTACATCACGTTCAGATTTAAACTCTTATTCAGGTTCACTTCAAGTTCAGATCATGTTCTTATTAGTTTTACTTCACGTTTAGATTACATTCATATTAGGTTCACTTTTAAGGTCATGTTCACAAATGATTCATCTCACGTTAAAATTTTGCTGCCATTCACGGTTCTTTGAGGTTCATCTCGTGTTCATCTCGTGTTCAGTTTCACTTGGTTCCTCTCGCCGTTTCTTAACTCCACTAAACTGAAATAGAAAAAAACTTAGTGTTAAACCTTAATAGTTTCAATATCTGTAAACTTTGTATATAGTAACAATGATGATTTGACATAACACAACACAAATTAATATATTTCTTTCATATCTAAAAAAAAGTATTCGCTCTAGTTTCAGCAACACAAATCAATTTCTGTAAATATTGAGTATAGACACTAGTAAACAGACATTTTCTTGAAACATTTCTTGCCTCGAGATATTTAAATTGGCATAAACAGCGTTAAAGTTTACATCGATTCATGGAAAGTTGTGACGTGTGACAGGAATGTGAGATTAGGTAAAGTCTCCGAAGTTGTATCTAGAAATGTTATTATGTGAAAAAAAAGGTGATATATATCCTGTGTGTGTGTTTATGTATGTATGTATGTATGTATGTGTGTGGGTGGGTGTGGATGTATATGTGTGTGCGTATATGAGTGTATGTGGCATGTGAAAGAAAAATCAATTTACAAGTGGTCATGCATGAGTACCTTAAAAGTCTTACGCTAAGGTCACATTCAATTCCTTGCTTCAACAGCTTTACGTTTTGTATTATTTATCATATCTTTGGTTTCACTTAAGTCTATCGCTACCACACCTCACACCTACCACTTTCTGTCTTTTCTGTGAGACTCCAGGTAGCAGCAGTTACCTGTGCAATATATTGTATATGTAATATTTATGTTTCTCATGACAAAACGAAGGTTATTTAAGTTACAGGTGATATATAAACGTTTAAAGTAGTCAAAGTTTAACGTTATTGATACTTAACATACCACAGCTCTCTTGTACTTGCTCAAACATTACCCGCCTTCACCCGGGTTAGACACATGCTGTATAACTTTGACCGTCACAGCTTGCGTGGCCTGGTAATTTTGTTCGTATGAAATAAACGAAGTAAAACAAAATAACTTCACCTCTTCAACCTCTTTCGTCTTTCACTATTTTATATATTCTTTCTCTTGAATTTTATCATATCTCATTCCCAGTCTTTTTCTCACGTTGTCACCCCCTTCCCACCTTCCATGTGCCACAAGCAGTAAGTCGACCAGTCTCTTTAAGTTAAGACCTCAGATAATGTGGTGCAATTTAGAGCCTTTTCCACTGAAAATTCCATGTTTAAAAATAATTCGTGTAATTCCACATCTCTCTCTTTCTTTCACTCTCTCAAACACACACACACACACACACACACACACACACACACACACACCAAAATAATCCAACTCGTCTTCATAACACGGAGGTAAACGTTAGACTTAACACACCTTCAGCCATCTTCAAGTAATTCAGAAACAAACACACTCTCTTTGTTGGTCTTTCACTGTCACTTAATTACATGGAATATTTTAATTTTAATTCGGGAACTTCTCTTTAATTAATTATTCTCGCCTCGCAGTCCATTACTAATTCTGATTGGTCAATCCCTTGGTTTCAGGCTTCCGCTGTATGTAAATTCATTCAATTACTCTGAGTCCTAGGTTAGTAATCTTGGCAACATTGCTATTCATTCCGCATCTTTAAAACAGTCAAGTTGAATTTGTCATTGTGGAGGGCCAGGTTGTGTCTAATTTATGTATTATGCAGCTGACAGTCGAGGTGTTGGTACTGTGCTGGTCCTCTGTTAGTGAAACTCGTGGTGTTGGTGTGTTGTGTTGGTGAAATTCGTGGTGTTGGTGTGTTGTGTTGGTGAAACTCGTGGTGTTGGTGTGTTGTGTTGGTGAAACTCGTGGTGTTGGTGTGTTGTGTTGGTGCGCTGTGTTGGGTGTGGAAACTCGCAAAAGCGAAAAGGTGTTGGTGAAACTCGTGGTGTTGGTGTGTTGTGTTGGTGAAACCGTGGTGTTGGTGTGTTGTGTTGGTGAAACCTGTGGTGCTGTGTGTTGTGTTGGTGAAACTCGTGGTGTTGGGGAGTTGTGTTGGTGTGTTGTGTTGGTGAAACTCGGGGTGTTGGTGTGTTGTGTTGGTGCTGTGTTGGTGAAACTCGGGGTGTTGGAGTTGTGTTGGTGCTGTGTTGGTGAAACTCGGGGTGTTGGTGTTGTGTTGGTGAAACTTGAGGTGTTTGATTGTGTTGCTGCTGTGCTGGTGCTCTGTCGGCGAAACTCGTGGTCTTGGAGCTGTGATGGCGCTGTGTTGGAGTATGGTGGTGAAACTGAAGGATTTGGCTTTATGGTGGTGGTGGTGGGGTGAAAGGATGGCGTGTTGTGGTGGTGGTGGGGTGAAAGGATGGCGTGTTGTGGTGGTGGTGGTGGTGGGGTGAAAGGATGGCGTGTTGTGGTGGTGGTGGGGTGAAAGGATGGCGTGTTGTGGTGGTGGTGGTGGTGGGGTGAAAGGATGGCGTGTTGTGGTGGTGGTGGTGGGGTGGTGGGGAAAGGATGGCATGTTGTGGTGGTGGTGGGTGGTGGGGTGAAAGGATGGCGTGTTGTGGTGGTGGTGGGGTGGAAGGATGGCGTGTTGTGGTGGTGTGGTGGGGTGGAAGGATGGCGTGTTGTGGTGAGGCGGTGGTGGTGGGGTGAAAGGATGGCGTGTTGTTGTGGTGAGGGTGGGGTGGGATGGCGTGTTGTGGTGTTGGTGGTGGTGGTGGGGTGAAAGGATGGCGTGTTGTGGTGGTGGTGGTGGTGGAAGGGTGAAAGGATGGCGTGTTGTGGTGGTGGTGGTGGTGGGGGTGGATGTGGCGTGTTGTGTGGTGGTGGTGGTGGTGGGGTGGAAAGGATGTGTGGTGGTGGTGGGGTGAGGATGTGTTGTGGTGGTGGTGGTGGTGGTGGGGTGAAGGATGGCGTGTTGTGGTGGTGGTGGTGGTGGGGTGAAAGGATGGCGTATTGTGGTGGTGGTGGTGGTGGGGTGAAAGGATGTGATGTTGTGAGGTGAGGTGGTGGTGGTGAGAAAGGATGGCGTGTTGTGGTGGTGGTGGTGGTGGTGGGGTGAAAGGATGGCGTGTTGTGGTGGTGGTGGTGGTGGGGTGGAAAGGATGGCGTGTTGTGGTGGTGGTGGTGGTGGGGATTGAAAAGGATGTATTTGTGTGGTGGTGGTGGTGGGGTGAAAGGATGGCGTGTTGTGGTGGTGGTGGTGGTGGGGTGAAAGGATGGCGTGTTGTGGTGGTGGTGGTGGGGTGTTATATTTACTATTATATAATCTAGTCACCTTACCCTGTGCTGTTAAGGTTTTAACTGTTATTATTTGTTCAAGCCCATGTTATTTCTTCATTTAGTGTTGTAACAAGCATTCTGTGTTACTCTAACGACCATTTGCATCGTTAAACGACCCACCGGCAGGTCGCGTGGCGGGAACCGACCTTATTTCTAGTACTCCACCTGTAGACACAGGGCAGTACAGTCCTCCTTGTCATTCAGTTCACGTTGTTTTGAGTGACTCTCGTCACCTGTTACTTATTCTTAATTTATTTGTGTTGTTCCTGTAGCCACCAATGTGGTATATCTATGTGAGTACCTATTTATGTCTCTATTTATGTCCATCAGTATTTGCTTGGTTACATTTAAGTAATTAAGTGTTGTTTCACGTTAGTTAATTTCAGTGATAGTTTTTATATGTTTATGCAGTGTTAACGTAATCCAATGCTTTATTTTTATTCTTTTGATGTTTCGATGTTTAGTATCATTTGTGTCTTAAAAGTTTCGATGGTGAATCAATTTGTTGTGACAGCCTACGAGGCTCTTTGTTGTGTTAATATTTAATTTAATTTAATTCTTAAAGGTTTACTTTATTTATTTTTATTCTCTTTTAATTTACTTCACTCACTTTTTTGTTTGGTTACGCCTAGAACCTGGTTATTAAAGTAAATTAAGAGACGCCGTAACTATATATATATATATATATATATATATATATATATATATATATATATATATATATATATATATATATATATATATATATATATATATATATATATATATATATATGTATGTATGTATGTATGTATGTTAGGCCGCGTCATTGACACACCACGTCAGCATTATCGTCTGTACAAATAGCCTAAATTGTTATGAGTCCATCCGAAAGGCAATACCATTAAGCTGCATATTGAAATTCACATGTAGTGAAAGACTTATGAATGTATCCTCGCTGTACTATTGTAGGAAAGGTATAATTGATATATACAGCCGTTGTATGGTCTCGCCGTTTTACTGTAGAAAATGGTAACTGCAGTAGCTGTTTGTACCTATGTGTGGGATGATATGACCTTCCCATATTACCTGGATACAAATGATAGTACAGTAAATTTTGTTATCTGTCCTAATTATTACTCGATAGAATGGAGGATATTCACCAGCTTTATTATTTTCTTTGCCTTTAGTAGCTCTGATGTTCTGTGTAAGCCTTTATGATATACCCTTTACAGCTACAGTATAACTTTGATTTATGTGAAGTCCTTACAATTAATTTTCTCTCTCTCTCCCATCATCAAAAAATCGCTGTATTTCTTCCCCCCAAAGATCTGCTCATATCACACTTCTTAGGTCTTCGTTAACCCTAATTAAGTCGGTCCTCAAATCCACTTAACATCTCTTAACACACAACGCTCACCACTGCAGCTGTTTACGACGACACTCGTGAGCTCCATCACTCTCCCGGTGGACATAATTCCCTGAACCAGAGTACATCACTGGCTGAATACACGAGTGAATTAAATCTTGCTGCTATTTAGTTGCATCATCTTTAATTCTGATTATTTAAGCATCTAGGATATATAATACTACATGTCCGTCTTAACTGCTTCATCTCTCAGTCTCGTTCCTAACTTTACGGTGTGTTTAAATCTCCTGTAGTTAAATACTTCACATAAATAAAGTGGCACTCTTCCTTCCCCCAGTCCTCGCCTAGTGTGTCTCTACCCCCGTCAGTAGACCTGCCGCAGGCCACAACACACACTCCAGTCTCTCAATCCCTTCTCCTCTCCTCCTCCTCCTCTCACCAGTCCCCTTGACCTCGCTTCATTCAGTCACCACGCTCTCCCCCTCATCTTAATTGAGGGT